AAAAAAGTCTATTTATAGGTGATCAGAAATAGGGACCGGAAGGAAATCTGAATGAAGTTTTATGGGCGTCAAGAAGGAGGCAGTTTAAATCACAATAGGGGGATATTTCAAGATAGCCACATAGATGTCTATATAGACGACCACGGACGGAGTTTTTATAGTCGACTGAGGTTAGTAAATTTTGGTAGCCGAAGAGGGGGAGAGGCTTTTGTAGTCAGAAACAGAAGATACTTTTTGTAGTTGGGCAAAAGAGGGTCTAAATAGACGGCAAGCAGGTGTTATATTGTCAGTATAAGAAAGTATTTTTTGACGACCGAAAGGTAGTATTTTGGGTATTTTGGTTGACCATATAGTGCTATATCCAGATAATAAGAAAAGCTGTCCTTGAAGATGACCAGGTAATTCTAATACGAGTAGGGTGTCTTTATAGACAGTCAGAAATAGTGTCTTCATAGACGACCGGAAGGAAATTTGGCGGAAGTTTGCAGTCGTCTATGTGAAGATAGTTTAGGATCACAATAGTGGAGATTTCAAGGTAGCCAGATAGATGTCTATATAGACGATCAGGAGGGAACAAAGGATATATGTACGGAGTTTTTGTAGGCGACTGTAGTGAGTAATTGTTGGTAACTGAAGGGGGACATTCTTGACGACCAGAACGAGATCTATTTAGACAACCAGAAGGTATCAAAAGGAAGCGTTTATAAATAACCAGAAAAGGGGGGTCTTAAAAGAGGACCATAAAGAGGTCTTTATGTGTGACCAACAGGAGCTATATAAACAGCCAGCAGATAGTATTAATGGACGAACGGAAGGAAGTATGCCTGAACTAGTAACATTGCCTCAATGGGCACTTCCCATACCAGTATTTTACCAAAAAAAACTGCTAATATATTTTTTACACCATATGTTTGTATGCATCATTTTTGGACTTATTTCATATACACTGACATCGTGAACCGGTTTCGCGACCACAACAAAATCCAAAAATATACATTAACCGAAAAAAAAGTTGTGAGACCAACAAACTTTGAAGAATAGCAACAATACGTAATAACAAAAACAAGTGTTTTGTGAAAAAAAACTAAATCCGACCACCCGCCACTCTCGTTAGAACATCCGCAAGTGAAGAGTGTAATTAGTGGCGGACGTTAACAAATGAAATAAAAACTAATTGACGAGCGAAGTTTCACTTCACAGTTGGCGGCAACTGTGGATAAATTGAGGCTGCCAAAAATCGAGTAGCAGATGTTGATATTTCCGCTTTTTAATTTGAAATGAAGAAAAGAGAATAGTTTAGGTGAGGATGAGATGGGGGGACGTTGTTTTAGAAGATTAGGGGAAAGCCTACATATACTACAAGGAGGGAGTATTTATAGAAGATCATATTGGGAGGCCCGAATATTGTCGAAATATACGGCCGGAGGTAGGCTTCATGGTTGGCCAGGGTGTGGTTTTATAAAGGACCAGAAAGATGTTCTTTGTGATAACCAGAAATTATATGTATCTATTAAATCCACAAGAGAGTATGGATGTCCTGAAGAGAGAGAGAGAGAAAAGACCAAGAGAGAGTTTTTATAGACGACCAAGAGATATGTTTATAGACGCCAAGAGAGGATCTTTATATATGACCAGAGAAAAAATAATTGCTCCTTTGGTAAAATCGGAAAGAGCTTCTAGATATAATTTATAAATGACCCAAAGAGAGCTTTTATCGACGACCAAGAGAGGATCTTTATAGATGACCAGAGAAACAAAAATTGCTCCTTTGGGAAAATCAGAAAGGGCTTCTATGGAAAGCCTTTTAAAGCGATCAGAGAAGTTTGACAGAAGTATCAGATATCATTTATAGATGACCAAGAGAGAGCTTTTATAGAAGACAAAGAGAGGATCTTTATAGATGACCAGAGAAACAATAATTGCTCCTTTGGGAAAATCAGAAATGGCTTCTATGGAACGCCTTTTAAAGCGATCAGAGAAGTTTGCCAGAAGTATCAGATATCATTTATAGAGTACCAAGAGAGAGCTTTTATAGACGACCAAGGGAGGATCTTTTAGATGACCAGAGCAACAATAGTTGCTCCTTTGGGAAAATCAGAAATGGCTTCTATAGAACGCCTTTCAATGCGATCAGAGAAGTTTGCCAGAAGTATCAGATATCATCATCAGATATCATTAATAGATAACCAGAGCCCATTATTTTAGGCCGTTCTGCAGGAATTCCTTAGAGACCAAAACTAGGGAATTCCTGATGGACATCTCTGTCTACCATTTCTCAATAAATTTTCTGACTTCTCCGAAATTACTCCTCTCCACAATGCAAATTGTTTCGAAACTAAACATTATCTCGCCACCCAACCCTGTATTTCCAAAAAATCCCTTATCAATTAAAAATAATTACAAAAGAATTCCACATATTATGCGGGTCTTTCGAAAAACAAAACAAACACCAAATGATGAAACATCAACTGAAAAAAAAATAATTTTCCCCCACCAGAGTGTCGAGTGTCAAGTTGTTAATTGTAATCAATTAAAACGAAAGAAAAAAAACTGAACTTAAAACTCAAAATAAAACAGTCAAATATTATTAAGAAAAGAAAAAAACTGAAAAAACACGCAATGACTCACCGAGCCCTGGTCATTGCTGTCTAGTGTGGAACAACAACAAAAACTCGCCTCCATACATCGCGGAGCCCCCACCACCAAAAATAACTCAGCAACTAAACAATGTAGTTTCTTCGACATTACCATAACCGACAAAATTCTTGTTTTTCTGCAATTCGTAATGGCTACCGCATCTGCAAGAACCACAATAACAACACCAACATCATCAACAGCATCTTCCACCATCTCAACAAATACTTTGCGTACCCTACCACGCAAGCGAAGACCCCGTGCCGTGGGTGAAGTGTCAATAACATGTCCTTCAAGTTATGTTTATCTCAATGCCGAGCGCAGGGAAGATAATGAAGGCGAAGATGCTTCTCCCAAAGTTGATCCCGTTTATCAGAATGCCTGCATTGATGAGCTAAAACAGAAAATTGAATCTTCCCAACAGCATCAGCAGGCAAAGGAATCTGTAACGGCCAAACGACATCAACGGCAACGCATACATTTAACATTTGTGCGCGCCACTATTGCCGAGGTGGAGGATGAAACGCGAGAGGGAATGGTCATGACGACATTTGTAGGTTGGTCAAGTGTGTGTTTTTTTGTTTTTTTTTTTTAAATTTTGAATTCAAATAACAAATATTTGGATAAATATATTTTTTTTTTAAATTTGGGGAATAAAATATGGGGCCGTCGTAAAGAAGAGCAAGGGAGGCCGAGCTGAAGAGAGAATAATTATCAACAAGCTGGAGAGAATTTCTATAGACGAGCTGGGGAGAGTCTCTCCAAATGACCAGTGGAGAGACTCAATAGACGAGCTGGAGTGAGTTTTTATAGAGGAGCTGTAGAGAGTTTTTATAGAGAAGCTGGAGAGAGTTTCTATAGAGAAGCTGGAGAGAGTCTCGTCCTAATAAGCAGGTGTAAACTCTTCTAGGCGAGAAGGAGGGAACTGAAGAGAGTCTCTCTCGAGACGGGCAGAGACATTTTAATGATCTGGAGAGAATATTTCTTGACAAGCTGGATAGTCTCTATAGGCGACATGAAGGGTGTTATTACAGACGAACAGGAGAGAGAGTCTCTTTAAACGAGCTGGAGAGAGTCTCTTTAAACGAGCTGAAAAGAGTATTTATAGACGAGCTGGTGAGAGTCTCTCTAGACAAACTGGAGAGAGTTTTTCTAGACGGGCTTGAGAGAGTCCCGTCCTAATAAGCAGGAGGGAACTCTTTTAAACGAGGAGGAGGCAGCTGAGAGAGAGTCTTTTTCTAGACGGGCAGAGAGTTTATAATGAGCTGGATAGAATATTTCATGACGATCTGAAGGGAGTTATTACAAACGAGCTGGAGAGAGTCTCTCTAGACGAGCCGAAGAGATCGTTTATATACCTGGAAAAGGTTTTATAGACGAGCAGGGGAGAGTCTCTCTGGCAGAAGAATCAATATAGCCGTGATAAAGACAGGGAGCTGATCCGAAGCCAGGGAGAACCTCTATAGAAAAGCTGAAGACCGACAAAAATCCGTCTGTATATATGCTCTAGTGCCGTTTATATGGAGGCCCGGAAATCCGTCCATTTAGATGCTCGAAGGTAGTCTTTATAGACCCCTTGAAGACACTCCGTTTTATAGGTTCTCCCTATAGACGGTCCCTGCCTTCCAGTTTCTAAAAACGCCTTATAGGCCGAATCAGGGTGTCTTTTTAGAAGCCCACAAGACCGTTTCTATGTACGCCCTAAAGTCAATCTCTATAGCCCTAAATACCGCCTTTAGTGACGCCTCCAACAGTGTTTCTATACCAGACCTGCAGCTATAGACTTCCTTCATATGCCTCTATAGACGGAGGCTCTATAGAGGCCCCGAAAGTCCTCCCTTTAGACGCTCGATTGTCGTCTTTATAGACTCCTTGAAGGCTTTGTCTATAGACACTCGAAGGTTCTCCCTTGGATGCCAAGCAGATAATCTCTACAGACACCCTGAAGGCGCCCTAACCCCAAAAATAAGTCTTTATAAACATTCTAAAGGCCTCTTTTTAGACTCCCTGGAAGATCTCTTAATACACGCCCTTGAGGACCTCTATACAGGACCAAATAGCGTTTTTTGGAAGCCCGGTTGGTAGACTTTATGGACGACTGGAAGGGGGTCTGTTAATGCCACCTTCACCCATCACCAAAATTTCTCTAGATCGACTCAAAAGCTTTTCGTCAGACTCTCTTCTTTGTAGGTCGTTTTTCAAGAGAGTCTTTATAGAAGTTCTGAATATAAAAGTTCAGAATCTACAAATTCTAAAGTTCCATAGAATTGGATTTTTTTTATTTTTTAAATTAAATCTAGCCTTTGATTCTAAATTTTTAATATCTCCCATTCTAATCGGCCCTTTATTTTCCTTTCTCTTTCCAGATGATCCCGATCATTATTACGAACAACTCTCACCGGGCGACCTGCTCAACAAACGTCATTCGCTGGCACTGCAAGAACGTGGCGGTAGTCTGCAACGCAATCAAAATATGGTCCGAATATCGAAACGTGGCAAACCCATATCCTATTCAGCCCATGCGCTGGGCCAAGAAATTTCCGATGATTCCTTCGACTCGGATACCGATGACTATTACGAGGGAGAACTGCAGCATACCCACAATGATAGTGGGGTCGATATACGAACATCGAAGCTGCCCGATCCTCCGGTGTCCTCCAATCAAAAGTACTCCATTGTAAAGAAATTCAGAAATTTCCTGGCCAAAAAATCTCCCAACTCGTCCAAACATGGTGGCAGTCAGCAGAAGATCGATGATAATGCTTCCCAATTCTATGTGAATGGGAACTTTCATACGAGCAATGGTGGTGGTGGTGGTGGTAGTGGCAGTGGAGATTCATCAGCCAAATCCATGTCCCTGCAGGCACCACAAACCAAAGAGTTAAGTACTTCGGAGAAGAACTTGATTTTGGCCCAAAGCAATATTACCAAAGCGGAGCAGCTGAACACCTCGACGACACCGCGCAAACCCAAGACAGGCAAAAGTCTTAGGCATCGAATACGCAAGAGCTTGGTGGGCTTTGACAAACAACAATTGGCCACCCTTACACCCACCCGCAGTACCTTCTATGTCGAAGATCCTGTGCAAATTGAAGATGTAAACGGGCAAATGGATTCGGGATTTTCGGAAAAGGTAGCCGTCCCCAGCAATGAGGTGATGGAAAATACCACAAACACCACAAATGATACTCACAAATATTTAACTGCCCGCAAGGCCAAGAAGGAAGGCAAGTTATCGGCCAATGCCCAGAGGAGAAGGACCTCGATAGGCATACGGCCAATTGAACCGCCACCACCGCCTCCCGATGGCAATGGTAATATGAAGCGGCAAAGCACCACCTCTTGGTATGCCGAGTGTGGGGTCTTTAAAAACGGCACCACAAATCTTGTGGGTAACGACAGCCAATTGCTGAATGGCGAGACGGACAATGGCAACGGTGGTGGTGGCGGCGGTACATCGTGGTACGAAGAAGCTGGTCTCTATCAGACCAGTGGCATATCGGTGGCTAGTTCCAGCGGCAGTTCGGGTGTCTCCACCAGCAATGAAGCCAATCCGGGCGATGATATGTCCCACAGTTTATTTAGCAATGAACCTCTGTATCAGATATATAGTGCCGCCAAATTGGAGGCAATTTCACGGGATATGCAGGATAATAGTTCAACGGATGGTTACGAAGAGATTGGTGAACGGCGAAAGAATGCTGCCAATGAGGCGGAGAAAAGTCGCAAAACATCACGACCGACAGCGTTACAATTGATCGAACCGAAAAGTGGTCCGGAGCGGACACTGTGGAGTCAAATACCGGAGGTGGTCAACTCGATGATATTGCGTAAGTATGACGAAGGACATCTCAAAAAAAAACAATTCTGATTCTATACCCCATAAAAAAAACATAAAAAATACAGGGTGAGATAAAAAAAACTGCAACAAAGTCAAACGGCATAACTTTTACATTTTTTTTTTTATTTTTTTCGGAAATAGCATCAAATTTTCGAATAAGTTTAGATTTGTTCGAATTTGTCATCTTTGGCACGAATTATGGCCTTCAAACGGCCAATAAAACCGTCACAGGCTGCCAGAATGTTTCTCTGCGGTATTTTGGCCCATTCCCTACGAAGCACTTGCTTGAGGTGATCGAAACTTTGGTATTTTTTAGAGACAACCCTGCTTTCCAAACTTCTCCAGACACAATAGTCCAACGGATTAGCAGCGGGAGATTTTGGTGGCCATTGTGCGCTGGAAATGAAGCGAGAAACCTCATTTTGTAACCATTCTTGGGTGGCACGTGCTGAGTGCGATGGTACTGAGTCCTGTTGGAATGTCCAAGGTCTGTGGCCAATTTTTGCGTGTCCAAGGCCTTAATACACCCTCCAGAATATTTTCTCGATAATATTCGGCATTTATTCTGATGCCACGGTCGATTAATACGAGCGGAGAGCGACCATCGGCTCTTATGGCGGCGATACACCATCACCATGGCCGGCGCTCGAGTTCTGGTGGCCAACCGAAGCTGCCCATTTTCAGCTGACCTCTTTGGCACGTAAACACGATAATTTTGTTTGTTTACAAACTGCTGGACAACGAATGTTTTCTCATCGGAGCAGAGAAAATCAAATTCGGCAGTTCACCACTTTCGGCCAAGCGAAGCAACTCTTAGCTCTTTTGAGTCTATTTTCTTTTTTTGTGGCGGTGTAAGTTCTTGCACTTTTTGGAATTTCAATGGCTTTAGCCCGAGCTCATTTTCAATTTTTCAATATTTGCCGAATGGAATATTGCGATATGTTCAGCTCACCATGGCCATTTTTCGGCCACTGCGACGCGGGTTTTTGATCAAGTCGCTTCTGTACTTTTCGAACCATTTTTGCTGATGTTGCTGTTTTCTTCCGTCCACTTCCAGCCTACGTTACGCCAGTATCACAGTAACAAGCGATGGTTACGAGACAAAAAAGATTTATTCACATTTAAATGCTGGAGTGCTCTAACGATAGCCACTTGTGGTTTTCCAGCCAAATATAAAGAAATCACACTATCCCACTTGAATTCCATCACGAATAACTCTTTTTCTGGAAAATTCTCACGAAAATGCTTTTGTACGCTTGTAAAAAATTCATTGAGCTGTCACTGGAATAATTTTAACAGCTGTCGGACGAGTGGCTTAGAAATGACAGCAGTCTGAAATTGGTTGCAGTTTTTTTATTTCACCCTCTCATAAACTCCCTTTTGTTTTCCTTTTGGTCGCCTAAAATCATCTCCTTTTGATCGGCCATAAAAATCCATTTTGGACCTATAACACCTCCCTTTTGGACGTCTATAAATACCCATTTCATCTGTCTTCAGATATTTTACAAAAACCCTCCTCTTCCTATCTCTACATTTTGAAAACATTTCCTAACCAATTTTTTCTCATCTCTTTGCAGCCACCCTAACACCCCGTGAAAGAGCCCTAATGGAAGCCAAATTTGAGATTATCACCTCGGAAGCAAGCTATTTGAAGTCGTTGAATCTCTTGCGCAATCACTACATGAATCATCCGGTATTCCGCGATCAAAATCTGGTCAACTCACGTGATCGCAAGGCCCTCTTTGCCCACATTGTACCCGTACACGAGTGTTCGGAACGTTTACTCTCCGAACTGGAATCCTGCTGGCAGGATAATATAATGCTTATTGGGCTCAGTAAACGTATATATGCCATTGCCGAAAAGCATTTCCATGTCTATATAGGATTCTGTGAGAATCAGGGACGTATGGATCGCACCCTGAAACGGCTGCGAGCCAACAAGGGTCTGTTTGCCCAAAATCTGGAATTACTCGAATCAAGTCCATTGTGTTGTGGTCTGAATCTCCATTCGTTTTTAATGTTGCCCATGCAGAGAATCACCCGCTTGCCATTGCTCATCGATGCCGTGTTCAGTAAATGTCATCCGAACGATGATGAATATGAAAATTGGAAAATGTGTCTGGCCATCATGAATAAGATCGTGACCCAATGCAATGAGGCGGCCACCAAAAGTGATCAGGCCTATGAGATTGAGAAAATCTCAAGGCAATTGGAATTTAATCCATCCGTCATACGACCGCTAGCCATAGCCCCAGCGGGGGTGCTGGCTCCCGGCACAAAGCCACGATATTTGGTAAAGAAAGGAGAATTTACCCATCTCATATGGCGCGGTGATGATGCCAAGCTAACGTTTGGCAAGAAATTCACCAAGACCACCATCTACGCCTTTCTCTTCTCCGATCTGTTGGTGTTGACAAAACGCAAAGGTGAGGAACAGTTTTCGGTCTTTGACTATTGTCCACGCAATATGTTGACAATAACCTCAGGAGATTCACTGCCACAAGTTCCGACCAAAGATTTGAATAGTCAGACTAGCAAAAATCTCATTCTGATGACACTGCTAGAGAATCATCAGAGGAAAACCAATGAATTGGTAAGTGGTGGGGGGAAGAGGAGGAAGGAAGTAAATTTAAATATTTTTTCTTGTTTTTACAGCTTTTGTCATGTCCCTCAGTATCCGAGCAGGAGAGATGGTTACAGGCCATGCGCCCCCCCGAGTCTGAGACTCCGGGAGAAAAACTCTATGAACAGTGGGATTGCCCACAAGTCATTGCGAAGCATGCCTATGAAAGCAATGAACCCGATGGCCTCAATTTGGAAATTGGAGATGTGGTCAATGTGACAAGAAAACTGCCGGATGGTAAGACTAATGAAAAAAAAAACATTTTAATTCAAATAGAATATTTTATAATTATAAAGTTATTTAAAAAAAGATATATTTCTTTAAATTAAAAATTTAATATTTTCATTAAAAAATATTTTTTTTTCTAAAATAATTAAGTTTTTATTAAAAAAAATTTTATTATTCTCTTTATTTAGAGTAGAGTAGTTTATAGAAGAAGTCATGTATAGAAGTTTGTGGAATCGTCTATGGCCTACGTATATTACGTATATTAATGTTTATTTTTTTAAATAATTTTTTTAATCTCTGTATAGAAGTTTGTATAGAAGTTCTATATCTGACTACTTCTATACTCTACTCTACTCTACTCTTAACTAATATTAAAAAATATTTTTTTAATGAAATCTTAATTTTTTTGAAAAAAATATTTTTGTAATGAATATTTTAAATTTTCAATTTAAAAACAAAATATATTTTTTACATAAAAAAATTAAATATTAATTTTTTTAACATAAAGAAATTTATAAAAATATTTACTTCAAAAATTTTAGTGGATTTTAATTTTAAAGATTTTTAATTTAAATAATAATTTTTAAAAATTAAAAAAAAAAACAAGTAGAATTTGAAAATTTAACATTTATTTAAAAATTAAATTAAATTCAAAAAAAAATATTTTTAATTCATAGATTTAATTTTTTAGAAAAAAATATTTTTTAATGAAAATTTAAATTTTCAATTTAAAAACAAAATATATTTTTTTATATAAATAATTAAATTTTAAAATTTTAGTGAATTTTAATTTTAAAGACATTTAATTTAATTAATAATTTTTAAAAATTAAAAAAAAAAATACAAGTAGAATTTGGAAATTTAAAATTTAAATTTAAAAATTAAATTAAATTCATAAAAAAGTATTTTTTTATAAAACATTTTAAAATTACAATTTTTCATTTCAACATTTATTATTTTTATAATATATAATATAAATAATAAATTTTATATTATAAATAATTTATAATATAAATAAAAATATTTTAAGTCAAAAAATGTCTAATTTTCAAGAAGAATTTTTTTTAAAAATGTTTTTTTTTAATGATTTTTAATAAAATAATAAAATTTTAATCAAACATTTAGTAAAAGAAAACTTAATTAAAAAACGTTTTAAAAATTTAAATTTAATAAATATATATATTTTTTAAATATTACAAAATTTTTTAATAATTAAAATAATAACACAAAAAATTATATTAAAAAATAAATTTAAATACGTTTAACAACTTGTTTAATTATTGCAAAAACATTAATTTTTTATTTATAATTTCAATATTCATTCAAAAAAATTTAATATTCAAAAAGTTTGAATTGAATGCATTTTATTTAAAAAATCATTAATACTCAAAAATAATCAAAGTGTTTAAATTAAAAAAATATTTGAAAGTTTGTTTTATAAAAATATAAATATTACAAAATTTTTGTAATAATTAAAATAATAACTCAAAAAATTGTATTAAATAATACATCAATTATTTAACAACTTGTTTAATTACTTACAAAAAAAAAATAATTTTAATTTTCATTTTAATATTTATTCAAAAAATTTGAATTGAATGCACGAAATTATATTTTTTTAAAAGAAATAATTAATGCTCAAAAAATGTAATCAAAATGTTTAAATTAAAAAAAATATTTGAATTAAAAAATATTTGAAAGTTTATTTTCATAAATATATAAAGTTAATTTAAAAATAATATTAAAAAAATAAAATTTAAATTTATAAAAGTTTTCATTTAAATAAAAATAATTGTTTTTATGTTTTTCAAGTTAATAGAAAATTTTAAATTCGATTTTAATTTAAAATTTGTATTCCAATATTTTTAAATCCTTTTAAAAATTTAGAATGATTTTATTAATTTAAATTTGATTTTATTTCAAAATTCTAATTTTAAATAATTTGAAGGTTTCATTTTTAATTTAAAACAGTTCATTTTAATTCAAAAAATTCAAATGAATTAGATATTCAAATTTGAATTTAATATTTTTATTTCCAAAAATAAAATTACATATTATTTTAAATTTTAATTCAAACTTTTTTAAATTACAATTTCAAAGTGTATTATAAGCTTAAATTTACAGGTTTTTGTTTTAATTGAATTTTTTAATTTATTTCAATTATTTTAATTACATTTTATTTAAACATTTTGAAATTATTTCAATTTTTTTTTAATTTAAAAACATTAATAAAAGTTCTAATTTATTTTTATTCCAACAATTATAATAATTTTAACATTTTTTTAAATATTAAAATTAAATTACATTTTAATTAAACATTTTGAAATTATTTCAAAAACTGTTTTTTAATTTAAACGCTTTAATAAAAAATTTAATTTAATTGTATTCCAACAATTATAATTTTTTTATTTTTTTTAAATATATTATTTATTTTTTTTTTTAATAAAATTTTAATTATACCCTCAGCCATATGGCTACAGAGGGTATATATCATTTGATACGGCCAAAACGTGCCTAGTCGAAATAACGGTTTTAGACCCTAGGTCTCTTTGGACCAAATCCGTTTCAGAACATTTGGAGTCGATCTAGCGATGTCCGTCCGTCCGTCCGTCCGTCTGTCTGTCTGTCTGTCTGTCTGTCTGTCTGGCTGGCTGGTGCGCACGATAACTCTCGAAGGGAGTATCCAATTTGGTCCAAACTTGGTACATCGTAATATTTTTGTCAAACTTAGATCGAGTTCGGAGATGGGCAATATCGGTCCACTCCTTCTGGTACCTCCCCCACAAAAGTTCGAAATTTTCAAAAAATTTAATTTTTGCACAGAAAGAGAAATTATAGTCCGATTTTGCTCCAACTTTGCAAATCTTAATATTTGCGTCAGTGTGAGGTCGGGTGTGAAAATGGAAAATATCGGCCCACTCCATCAAGTACCTCCCCCACAATTGGTAAAAATTTTGAATAATTATAACTCTCATAAAATGTGATGTAAGTGTCCGATTGTCTTAAAATTTTACACATCCCAATATTTATATTAACCCAAGGTCTGGTGTTAAGATGAACAATATCGGTCGACTCCTTCTGGTACCTCCCCCACAAAAGGTCGAAATTTTCAAAAAAAAAAAAAAATTTTTTTTTTTTTGCACAGAAAGAGAAAGAATAATTCGATTATTCTGCTACTTTGCAAATCCTAATATTTGCATCATTGCTAGGTCTGGTGCGAAAATGGAGAATATCGGTCCACTCCTTCTGGTACCTCCCCCACAAAGGCTTAAAACTTTAAATAATAACAACTCTCATAAAATGTGATGTAAGAATATGATTGTCTTGAAATTTCACACATCCCAATATTTATATTAACCCAAGATCTGATGTTAAGATGGAATATATCGGTCCACTCCTTCTGGTACCTCCCCCACAAAAGGTCGAAATTTGCAAAAAATATATTTTTTGCACAAAAAGAGAAAGGATAATCCGATTTTGCTCTCACTTTGCAAATCCTAATATTTGCATCAGTTCTACGTTAGGTGTAAAAATGGACAATATCGGTTCACTCCTTCAAGTACCTCCCCCACAAATGGTCAAAATTTTGAATAATTACAACTCTCATAAAAAGTGATGTGTGAGTCCGATTGTCTTCGAATGGCGCACATCCCAATATTTATATTAACCCAAGCTCTGGTGTTAAGATGAAGTATATCGGTCCACATCTTATGGTACCTCCCCCACAAATGGTCGAAAATTTGAATTTATATTTTCTGCGCAGAAAGGAAGCAATAATCTAATTTTGAAAAACATAACGCTCAAAGAAAGCGAAATAAGGATTCAACTCTTTTCAAATTTCACACATACAAATTATTTTTGCTAACACCAGATCTGTTTCGAAGATGATCCTATTTATCTGCGAAAACCTTCTGGTACCTCACCCACAAAGAGACACATTTTTCAATATTTTTATCTGTCATAAATTGCGAAACAACTCAGTGATACTTTACAATTGCTATATCCATCTGCTATAATAATATTTATATCATATTTATGTAGGTCCGATACGAAATTGACAATATTGACCCATTCTTTAAAAACCCACTCCATAGAGGGTGAAGAGGGCTGAGGGTATACATCTGTCGGCAAAGCCGACCGATACTTTTTTACTTGTTATTTAAACATTTTGAAATTATTTCAAAAAAAAATAGTTATTTAAACACTTCAACAAAAATTCTAATTTAATTTTATTCCAACAATTATAATTATTTTAACGTTTTCTAAATATTTTAATTCAATTTTTTATTTAATTTTTTTTTAATTAAATTTTACTTAAACATTTTGAAATAATTTCAATTTTTTTTTAATTTAAACACTTTAATAAAAATTCTAATTTAATTTTATTCCAACAATTATAATTATATTAATTTTTTTTATTTTATACAATTTTAAATATTTAATTATTAAAAAAAATAGTAAATGGTTTGACCTCTTTAACTGATTAATTTAATTTATTAAAACTAAGAAATGTTACTTTTAATTCAAAAAATGTAAATACTTTTAATCAAAAATATTAACTTTAAATTTGCTTTCAGGTTGGTACCAAGGCGAACGCATACGTGATGGTGCCGTTGGCTGGTTCCCCGGCGACTATACGGAAGAGGTCAATTCTGCCCATGTTCGTGCCCGCAATCTCAAGCTGAGACATCGTCTGCTAACATTTACCGCCACCTATTTAGAATCACAAAAACGCAATAAATGATCCAAAAGGAAAACCAGTTTATGGTCGACAAAGAACAATTTAAGGGACTTAAAAACTCCCTCACACAATACGTAGTAATAGTTCAGCCTTATAATCATTATTTTAGTCTCAAAAGAAAAGCAATATAAGAAAAATTTATTTCTATTTTTAATATTATTATGTATGAAAAAACTATTGTAATAACTCCCCTTTATTTGTATGTATTTATTAAACATGTGATATCCAATTAATATAAAAAAGTAATTGTTTTTCGAAGAAAAAAAAGGAAATTGTTAATTACCACACATTATTTGTTTTAATTTGTTTAAGGTTATGTTCGTTTTATTTGTATTTGTTTCTTTTATATGCAACAATTTAGTCAAATAGTTTTATACGAAAATTATAGTAATAATAATAATAGAAATTATATATATTTTTATAGTACATATACATGCATGTATTCCCTAGACTTTCAATATTTTAAGATGTGAATATATAAGAGATTTTATTATAACGATAAGTTTTGTATAGTAGTAGCTTTGTGTTAGTTTTAATCGAGTAAATAAATACCAATGCGTGTATACAAAATATATCAATTTACAAAAATATTTTAATAAAATTTAATACGAAATGTAAAAAAATAAACAATATTTAAAAATAAATATTCAAAATAAATCATTTATTTAATAAAAAAATAAAGCAGAGATTTTCATTCACTTTGAATTCGTTTGTATGGGATTTTTAATTTAAAATCAATGTTGTGACGTCACAGTCAAAAGAAAAATGGTTTCGCTGAAATATCGCCAGAATACCAGGAGACCAGAATTTACTAGTAGGGTTTAGAGGAAATAATTTTGGTCTGGCAACACTATTGTCCATAAAAGTGTTGGAAGTTGCCAGACCGAAATTTTTCAACCGCATGCGCCTGAAAGTATGCTTTGGATTTTACAGTTTATGGCATTGCCATTTCAACATTTCTTTAGTGGTTGTGCCTAGAAGTAAACTTTCAATTAGTTCTGTTAAACGAATATTAAATTAAACACAATCGTTTTTCTTTCCATAGCTTATTTTATTCAGTTGTTAATGTTTTTAAATAATGAATACAATTAATATGATGATAGGGAAATTGAACTCTAAAAAAACGCTGAAATTTGTTGATAATTTTTTTAATTAAATACAAAATTTGAACATTTTTCTTTCGACCCCAATTTTCAAATTTCACACACATTTTATTTTTCCTTAAATGAAACCCCTTTTGTTCAAAGACGGGAAAAATTCAAAATTAGTAGATTTTTGCAATTTCTGGAAGAGACCATATAAATACTCTGTTCCATAATTGCAAGAATGTAAATATTTTTATGATATCGAAAAGAGTTAAAAAAAAACTTGTGTATTCCTGCAGGTTCTGGAACAGAGCAAAAAAAACAATTGAAATTTCTTAATGAACAAACGAAACGTAGAAAATATTGACAGGTAAGCAATTTCATTTATAACTTTATGGTCATTTTTGCGTGTATCTGGACGCATCGTTATTTTGACAATAACTATATAAACTCAGATTTCTTGTTAATAAATTAAAAATGGGATTTTAAAAATTAAGGTGGTTGCCTTCGTTTATTCTTTAAAAAATTTCGAATATATTTCTTCATAGTTTGTTTGTTATGGCAAAATGTTTTCAATATTTTATTATGATTGTTATTTAGTTTGCAATGAGAACATGGTATTAGCACAGGCATTTCATTCGATAATATCGATATGGAAACTATCAATCGATACCCCTTAACAAATGAATTATTGATGGTATCGACATTGCCATCGATTGTTTGTCACCTCTAAGAACAGATTACTGGAGTGGAAAGGAGAAGGAAATATATTTTTCTCTGTTTTACAAAACAAATCTCGAAAAACACTCTTTTTGGGTTGGCTGTCAAATCTTGGCGTCGACATAAAATTAAAGTTTCTTTCTTAAAAACTTGTGGATATATCCGACGTTTAAATGTTTTAATAAAAAATGCAAGAGAAGAATTCAACAAGCAATGGATCGGCTGGGTACATGCAGGTAAAAAAACAACGTGAAGGAATGAAGTGTTATCGAGTTAAAAGCAGGCAACATGCCATTGCCAGCTAGAAGTAACAATTCCAGGTAAAATTTAGGACAACAGTTGCGGAGGGACTTTTAGGACAACGGAAGTTGTTTTGTGTTTAGTTAGTGAGACATTGACGATATAAGCGGCAAGTAGACATGGTTTTGTTAACCCTTGTGGCTTTGTTGTTCCCTAAAAGTGTTACAATTGTTGGTTTAAATTAAATGTATACCCAGCTGGCGGAATCATCTGAAATGTTTGCCATAGGTATGTCTTTTACCCTGAAAACAACATAATTTTATTGGTATGAAATCCATACTTCCCTAGACTTGGGATTAGAACGTTTATCTTTTCACGTCCTAGAGGACAAGATTCCAAGAACCGGTCAAATGTCACCTACTGAAAAAAGTATGAAATTTATTAAAATTTGGACATGCTGTAGTTTGTACAAAATGTTAACCCTCGACAGAAGACCGACTACTTAACTACTACTGTAGGGTATTCCAGGCAGAAATCTTTGCTGTCAGAAAAGCCGTAGAATTGCTAATGAATCGAACTGTTGAACTGAACGGACCGCTGGCTATATGTTTCGATAGTCCAGAGGCGCTAAATTCAACCACCATCAAATCTATGGTAGTCCAGGAGTGCAGGATTGTTCTGGAAAAAGTGAAGTCCTTTATTAAGTTTTGCTGGTTTTCTGGTTACAGTAACATCTCTATCAATGAAACTGCATATGAATTGGCAAGAAGTGGCTCCGAGTCAACTGTTCTAGAGATTGAGATCTCGGTGAAGCCACCTTTATGTCACTTCTTCCAGATAATACATAAACATTATTCTGGAAAATTTCACCATAACTGGCAAAAATCAGGAAGCTGTATTGCTTCCAAAATTCGGACGGTGATCTCACTCACTTCTATGGCGAAATCTGACCTAAAACTTTTAGTAGGCTTAATAACAGATCACTGTAATATTAGAGCCATGACTTCTACGTATGGGTGACGATGGAAACTGCGGAACACCTGCTTTGTCACTGTCCAATTTTTTTTAAGAACCAGACAGAGGATTACGGTTAAGCAAACTCCAATACTGAGCCATCTACAATTCTTCAGCTAGCCAGAGGACTAAAATGGCTAAAGACAACACGATAAATTCTTCGTTGATACTTCTTCTCCTACATAATCTTAATATATCTGTATTTCTTTTCCTTTCACTCTAATCAGGATGATCACAATGGACCAGCAGGTCTCCGAGTGGAGCGGTTGCTAAGTAACTGCACATCCTCTAACCTAAAAGAAGTGCCAATTATATACGTAGCCGGCGTTGGGTATACCCCTTAAAATATGTTATTGCAGTCAGGATTATCTCTGGAAATATAGATTTCTGCAAAAAATATATATATATGGGGTAAAATTCAGCTAGGTGTAATCTCAATTTGTTCTTAATTTTTTAAATATATAAAACAATTTAAATATATAATTTACGGATTAAAGATCTCCGATAAATACATTAAGGAGCCCGTCGAGCATACCAAAAACATATTTTTTGTAAGACCTGAGTGTGTCCTTATATCCAAAAATACATTGAATTTTTGGTTCCCATAACAACAACGTTGTTAGAAAATAGAATTATTCCACACCACACACCTGTATTGTTTGTCTAGTAATAGAGTAATCGAAGAAAAGGTACGCAATCACAATACACGCTAATTTTTAAACGACTATTTAAATAAATAACATTTTAAATCTTTGCAGCTTAATGCGAGGAACGAGGATGTAGAAATCTAAAAAGTAATTACAACATGGTTTTGCCCTTTAACAAAGACGAATTTGCATTCCGATTTAATGAGAGGTGGTTCTATGGCATTGGATGTTCAAAATTAACTTAGTGACATTAAACGCCCTAAAAATATGAATGGGGCTCAACTTTACATCATAAACTGTGTAAACTACAGCCAAATTATGTAAATTACGTCAATATTCCATTTGGTCTCTTTTGAATAAATTCCAAAGATCTAAATGCCAGCTACAGTCAATATTAAACTATCCGAAACCGACACCATCCGATATAGGATTTCCAAAAATTGAGTAATAAGGGTCGAAACCATCCCCAACCAGCTATATAAATCCACTATAGATCTAGCTTTATAAAGCCCTTCAAAGATTCTTCTATTTAGGCTAAAAAGTCTTGAATGTTTAGAAGACCTCATGGATTTTCGCATAACTGAACCCTCGGAAAGATTTTTGTTTGTAAAAAAACCTCTGAAAGGTTTTTTGTTCATAGAAGTCCCACTAATGGTCATCTGGATGAAGTCTTCAGAACACCTCCTAAGGGTCTTCCCTACAAATTTCTTCTTATAAACCATTTACGCATAGAGCTCAAAATCCAACCTTTCATTTATAGATGACTATTGAATGGTCTTTCTTTTATAGAAGATTTCCGATGAACTTTTTGTCAGTAGGACGTCTGAAGAAAGTTAATATTTATAAAAGATCTCGAAAAAGTCCTATTTCTATAAGAGGTTCTATTTGCAAAGACTTTTGAAAGGTACTGGTAATAGTAAAGCGATTTTCAACACCCAAGGAAATGTTAAAACTTTAAAAACATCTAATGTTTCCCATTATTATTTTTCCCATTATTATTTATTATTCAATTCAGATTTTTCACTAAAAAGGGGCAAAATAGCTATTACTTTGTACTCGAAGAACGCTTCAACTTCGTTTGTCATTTTTATAATATCCGCCATAGTATGGAGGGTATATTAAGTTTGTAACATCTCGAAATATACATTTTAGACCCCACCAGGTATATATATTCTTGATCAGCATAAAATTTATGTCGATTTAGCGTCCGTCGAGTCCGTCCGTCTCTGGAAATCACTTTAGCTTCAAAATGAAATTAAGTAGTAAAATTTTACTCAAATTAATGCTATGTCTGCAGGACTTTTGGTATTGAAAATGGGATTGGAATTGTAACAAATTTTGTATTTAAAGTTCGTAATGGGTATTTCAACCTATGACAAAAAATTTCGTATGCGGGTTCACGTTTTCGTATAGCAACCATATGACGGTACCTCCCGATACTCGGTATTTTTTATGATTTTTGCGACATTATTCTCCGGAATTGTAACAAATTTCGTATTTAAAGTTCGTAATGGGTACTTCAACCTATGACAAAAAATTTCGTATTCAGGTCCACGCCTTCGTATAGTTGTATATAGTAAGAGGTAGTTTTCGAAATTGTTTTTGAAATTTTTCAAGTTCCATTCAAATGGTGGAGGGTATTAAAATTCCGAACTTGGCTACTTTTTTACTTGTTCTTCTTTGTTTTGACATATATAATGGACCATAAGACTGCTTTTATTATCCTGTATTTAGACGTTCTTAAACCTTAATTCACTTGAATTTTCGTATTTAATTTTGAGTCAAAACATAATAACTCTATTTTTTTAAATTATTAACAATGAAAATGTTCAAGACCTCTTTTCTGAACGGTTAGTAAAAACGAAGTGAACCCACAATGTTATTACATTACTTGGATTTGCTAATAGCTTATAAAACAAAACCAATTTGTTTGTTATCAGCAAGTCTGGGCTTGGGGTCAAATTTGTTGTTTTCATGTTTTTATTTATTTTTTTTTTTAATTTGTGACCACATTATATTTCCGAAACGCACCAACAACAACTATTCATACAATTGTTTGGCCTTATCGGCTTTTTCAATCTCGGCATCAAGCGAAAAGAATCCAACACACACAAAGTGCGCTATAAAAAAGCAATCCAGTCCAGCTATTTATGACTATGTCAAACATTTAGTTCAGTATTTAGTCACATCAAATGAAGAAGCTCTTAGTTAGTTGACCATTTGTTTAGAGTAGCTTTTTCATGTCGATACACAAAAAAGAACGACTTAATAAACAAATATAAATTATTGATTTCTTTCGTTTTTTACTTCTTCTTTTAGACAAAACGTATGATTAATTTAAGTAATTCATCAGATGAATATCTTTCGGCAAATGATGAATCTTTTACAACGATAACTACAGGACAACAGCAAAGTGTGGTGGGTGGAACAACAACAACAACGACGACAGCAGCGCCGCCACCATCATCGCAACCAACAACATTGGCAGCACGCAAACAATTATCTCCTGCCGACCCGAATGAGCCAGCCAAACCCCTATCCGCATATGCTTTGTTTTTCCGGGACACAGTCAGTGCCATTAAGCAGCAGAATCCGAATTGTACATTTCAGGAGCTATCGAAAATTGTGTCTTCTATGTGGGAGGCCCTGGATCCGGTACACAAAGCCGTATACAATAAGAAAAACGAGTTGGCCAAAAATGAGTACATTAAACAAATGAGAATATATAGACAACAACAGCCATCACAAACAGCAGCTGTAGAAGGTAGCAATAATAACGTAATACAACAAACACAATCTCCAACCGTAAACCAAACCCTAGCCACAGCCAAAGCAAATCTATTTCCAAACATGAATCTGAATCAGCAAACGGCAACGATTTTTAATCAAAACAGTGCAACAACACCAGTTGCCGAGTCAATGATCAATAACACAGTTCCGGTTACAACACCCACCGTTGTTACTAATGCCACCACTACTACCGTTAATGCTACCTCTGCCCCTTCGGGCGGCGAACCAATGCAAATTGTCAACGATGGTGAAGTCATCCAGAAATGCACAAGGGAGAATTGCAATAAACGAGCCATTGTCAATCCCGACTGGGAAGATGAGTACTGCAGCAACGAATGTGTTGTCATCCATTGCCGTAATGTTTTCAATGCATGGGTACAAGCCAATTTGGAGGCCAAGAAACAGCAAACAAGTGATATGCCAGCACAGACACCCGGAGCTAATACGTGAAACTAGTCGGACGGCCTTAGATGTTTTCTTTAATATCCACAGATGCTAACTTAACCTTTCCGCAAACTTACAACAAGAGTTTTGTAATGTTTTGTTTTTAACTATTGCCACTTGATTGGCTTTCAAGAGGAGAAAAGCGATGAAAGTTTAATTTAAATGCAATGCAATTATTTTTGGTATTTTAATGGATTTCGAAATTGAGAAATGCAAACATTTATTATTATTATTATTTTAATTATTAAATTTTGAATTTAATGTATTTAAAAAAACAACACAACAAATTTTATATATATACATAGAAAATAAATTATTAATTTTAAGCTAGAGCTTTCTAAGTGAGATTTTGATAATGTTTTCAAAGAATTACAGTTGTTGGGAAAAGGTAAGTATGATTGTTAAAAAATGTTGCCAAGATTTTTATAGGATTTTAAAAATATATTGGAGATTTAAAGTACTTAAAAAATATATTATTAAAGAATAAGGGAATGCTAAAAGTTCAAACAAATGAAGAAATAAAAGATTAGGCTTGCACCTTGAAATATTCTTTGTATACCTTAATCGCTTGGTTGAGACTTTTATAGATTTTAAAAAGTATTTTTAATACCCTCCACCATTCAAATGGTGGAGGGTATTAAAATTCCGAACTTGGCTACTTTTTTACTTGTTCTTCTTTGTTTTGACATATATAATGGACCATAAGACTGCTTTTATTATCCTGTATTTAGACGTTCTTAAACCTTAATTCACTTGAATTTTCGTATTTAATTTTGAGTCAAAACATAATAACTCTATTTTTTTAAATTATTAACAATGAAAATGTTCAAGACCTCTTTTCTGAACGGTTAGTAAAAACGAAGTGAACCCACAATGTTATTACATTACTTGGATTTGCTAATAGCTTATAAAACAAAACCAATTTGTTTGTTATCAGCAAGTCTGGGCTTGGGGTCAAATTTGTTGTTTTCATGTTTTTATTTATTTTTTTTTTTAATTTGTGACCACATTATATTTCCGAAACGCACCAACAACAACTATTCATACAATTGTTTGGCCTTATCGGCTTTTTCAATCTCGGCATCAAGCGAAAAGAATCCAACACACACAAAGTGCGCTATAAAAAAGCAATCCAGTCCAGCTATTTATGACTATGTCAAACATTTAGTTCAGTATTTAGTCACATCAAATGAAGAAGCTCTTAGTTAGTTGACCATTTGTTTAGAGTAGCTTTTTCATGTCGATACACAAAAAAGAACGACTTAATAAACAAATATAAATTATTGATTTCTTTCGTTTTTTACTTCTTCTTTTAGACAAAACGTATGATTAATTTAAGTAATTCATCAGATGAATATCTTTCGGCAAATGATGAATCTTTTACAACGATAACTACAGGACAACAGCAAAGTGTGGTGGGTGGAACAACAACAACAACGACGACAGCAGCGCCGCCACCATCATCGCAACCAACAACATTGGCAGCACGCAAACAATTATCTCCTGCCGACCCGAATGAGCCAGCCAAACCCCTATCCGCATATGCTTTGTTTTTCCGGGACACAGTCAGTGCCATTAAGCAGCAGAATCCGAATTGTACATTTCAGGAGCTATCGAAAATTGTGTCTTCTATGTGGGAGGCCCTGGATCCGGTACACAAAGCCGTATACAATAAGAAAAACGAGTTGGCCAAAAATGAGTACATTAAACAAATGAGAATATATAGACAACAACAGCCATCACAAACAGCAGCTGTAGAAGGTAGCAATAATAACGTAATACAACAAACACAATCTCCAACCGTAAACCAAACCCTAGCCACAGCCAAAGCAAATCTATTTCCAAACATGAATCTGAATCAGCAAACGGCAACGATTTTTAATCAAAACAGTGCAACAACACCAGTTGCCGAGTCAATGATCAATAACACAGTTCCGGTTACAACACCCACCGTTGTTACTAATGCCACCACTACTACCGTTAATGCTACCTCTGCCCCTTCGGGCGGCGAACCAATGCAAATTGTCAACGATGGTGAAGTCATCCAGAAATGCACAAGGGAGAATTGCAATAAACGAGCCATTGTCAATCCCGACTGGGAAGATGAGTACTGCAGCAACGAATGTGTTGTCATCCATTGCCGTAATGTTTTCAATGCATGGGTACAAGCCAATTTGGAGGCCAAGAAACAGCAAACAAGTGATATGCCAGCACAGACACCCGGAGCTAATACGTGAAACTAGTCGGACGGCCTTAGATGTTTTCTTTAATATCCACAGATGCTAACTTAACCTTTCCGCAAACTTACAACAAGAGTTTTGTAATGTTTTGTTTTTAACTATTGCCACTTGATTGGCTTTCAAGAGGAGAAAAGCGATGAAAGTTTAATTTAAATGCAATGCAATTATTTTTGGTATTTTAATGGATTTCGAAATTGAGAAATGCAAACATTTATTATTATTATTATTTTAATTATTAAATTTTGAATTTAATGTATTTAAAAAAACAACACAACAAATTTTATATATATACATAGAAAATAAATTATTAATTTTAAGCTAGAGCTTTCTAAGTGAGATTTTGATAATGTTTTCAAAGAATTACAGTTGTTGGGAAAAGGTAAGTATGATTGTTAAAAAATGTTGCCAAGATTTTTATAGGATTTTAAAAATATATTGGAGATTTAAAGTACTTAAAAAATATATTATTAAAGAATAAGGGAATGCTAAAAGTTCAAACAAATGAAGAAATAAAAGATTAGGCTTGCACCTTGAAATATTCTTTGTATACCTTAATCGCTTGGTTGAGACTTTTATAGATTTTAAAAAGTATTTTTTTATTCTTTGATAGACTTTGAAAATCTTAAGAAATCCAAATTTTGGCTTAGATATTTAGCTCTTGCAAAATCTTTAAAAACATTAGGACGTAAGAACTTTAATAAGCTTTGAAATGTTCCTTTAAAATACCATTATTTTGGTTATGAATATAAAAATATATTCTAACAAGTAAAATAGTTTCAGTCGGTTTTTCCCGCAGATGTGTGCACCCAGCCTTGAGTTATTATTATTCAAATTGTTGACCCTATATGGGGAGGTTCCGAAGCAGTTGGTTAATATTGAACAATTCGCAACTGACCTAATACTGATATAAATATTACAACGTGCCAGATTTGGACTATATCGACTACTTCCGATACTTTATATGAGATATGTGTAATTTTCGGAAAATGTGGAAATATGCGTAAGGTACCAGATATAGCGGACAGAAGTATTTCATGTTCATACTTCATCTAATACAGATAAAAATATTGGTATTGGAAAAATTACGAGAAAATCGAACATATATATATCCAATTTTATGCGAAATCATAGATTCCGATAAATTACACATTCATATTAGATTTTTGTTTAAGAAAAAATATAAATATAGCAAGTGGTAAAGAATCGCCGACTTGTTTCGCAAGTTATGACAGATATAAGCATTGGAAATTGTGACCCTTTGTGAGTGAGGTACCAGAAGGAGTTCGCAGATATATATCATCTTCACATCACACCTTTCGTTAGCAAAATTTTTTGTATATGTGCAATTTAAAGTGAGTTAGATGCTTATTTCGCGATTTATGGGCGTTTTGTTTTTCAAAATCTTGACGGAAATATTGAGATGTATCAAATCTAAATGGGGTCGGTCGTTATTTTCGCGTTTTAGGAGCTTCATGGATACTCAAAATGTTGAGCCTTTGTGAGGGAGGTACCAGAAGGAGTGGATCGATATAATCCATCTTCACACCAGACCTTGGGTTAAAAAAATATTGTGATGTGTGTAATTTTGTGTAATTTTAACCCTTTGTGGGGAGGGTACCAGAGCGAATGGTCCGATCTCTACCATCTTTCTAACAGATCTTTTGTTGGTGGAAATATGGAGATTGTGCCAAGACTGAATGGAATCTGAAGATAATTTCGCACAAGGAGTGAACCGATATATTCCATCTTCACACCAGATCTTGGGTTAATACAAATATTGTGATGTGCGTAATTTGAAGACAATCGGACTCTTACATCACATTTTATAAGAGTTATAATTATTCAAAATTTTGACCCATTGTGGGGGAGGTACGTTATGGAGTGGATCGATATTGTGCACCTGACCTAGCACTGCTGCAAATATTAGGATTTGCAAAGTTGGAGCAAAATCGGATTATCCTTTCTCTTTCTGTGCATTAGTATATTTTTTTGAAAATGTTTGACCTTTTGTGTGAGAGGTACCAGACGAAGTGGACCGATATTGCTCATCTCCGAACTTGATCTAAGTTTGATAATAATATTACGATGTACCATGTTTAGACCTGCCAACCAGACAGAACGATGGTCTGACATCGCTACATCGACTCCAAATGTCCTGAAACGGATTTGGACTGAAGAGACCTTGGGTCTAAAATCGTTATTTCGATGAGACACGTTTTGGCCGTATCAAATATATAAAAATAGTCAATGAAGATCATATTTTTGGTATAGCCCCTCCGCACCTCCCTTTTTCTCATTTTTTTAAGATTTTGGCTTCAATTTAAAATATGTTTTCACAGCGGGTAGTTTAACTTCTTTATAAAAAATATTCAATTTAGGTCCAGTTTTAGGAATATCCCCAAAACTGTATATAATTGCGCTATATAAAAGGCCTAGTCCAATAATAAGGTGAAAACATGAATATGTGTTTGAATATTATAGTACCCTATTTATAGTACCTTTAACCATATTTTTCAATCTAAAACATTTGGTTCAGTTCAATTTTTAAGTACTCAAGTTTCCCCAAAATCATTGCTTTGTTCCAAAACATGTAAGAAACTACAACTTTACCACCAAAAAATGTAAGAATCTACAACTTTGTCACTTTTTCGATAAAAATCGGTTCTGGTAGTTATTTTCACATTCTTTGAGGCACTGAAGAATTAAACATTTTCTGCTTGGCGTTGACAAATCCGGTTTTAAAATCATTGTTGGAATATAAAAAGAAAATGAGATTATTTTTAGCACTAATGTTAAATTTGTTGAAATCAGGTTTTTGACTTTTGCCAAGGTTCGAGAACACTGTGCATCCCTAACCTTGGTCTAAACACAAATAAATAAAAAACAAACTCCACAATTAAATTTTTTTCGGCTATAATAATATAGTTTTCATTTTTATTTGTTTGTATTCATACATAATTGTTTTGTTTTTGTTTTATAATAATATTATTTTCATAATTATGATGTTTGCTTATTTTCATTTTATTCAAAAATGTTTTTCTTACATATTTTAATGTTCTTTTGTTTTGGAAAAGAAAATAAGCAGAAAAAGAGAATTATTTTGAAAATACAAAAAAAAATATATATAGAGAAAACGTTTTTGTATGTTATTAAATTCATAATTAATTTTTGGATAATTAAATATTGTAAAAAAAATGAACGTAGATAACTTAATTATACCAAAAAATATGCTTAAACATTATATAAATAATAGTAATTATTGTATTTATATTTATATATATAAAAAAACTGAAATTAATAATAAATCACTTGTTGGTGGAGAGACTAAAAAAAGTAAACATAACAGAATATAAGAAAATAATAATACAAATTACTTATTATTATTTCTGTTTTGTTTTATTTTGTTGTCTCCTTTTTCGCAACTATAATTAATAAGTCGTTTCGCAGAAACCTTATACAAAAACAAGCTTCAAAAAATTATTTTCACAAAACACAATACTTAAAAATGAAACTTTAAGAAAAAAAATGTTGATGTGAAAAAAAAAAAACAGGCAGAGCGGAAGAGATTGCGAGCTTTAAGCTGGTAAAAATAAACAAACAAAGGACTTTAAAAATGGGTGTTTATTTTTTTTAAGAAAATAAAAATGAAACTTTAATTTTAATTATTTACTTATTTGAATAACAACAGAAAATGTATAAAAAACGAATTCTTATGATTACAAAAATAGTATTTTAAAATTATACCTTAAGCAGAGATTTCTTAATAGAGACGTAAGTAAGAAAACAATTCAAACCCGATTTGTTTCTTAAATTTAAAAAAAAGCTTTTGTAAAAACTAGAATTGAGTTTGTTAGTTTTTTTTTTAGAATTTATTCAAGCAAGGAAGGATAGGGGGATTTATTGGGCATTTCACATAATATAGATGTATAGTATGAGTGGGTGTGTGTGTAATATATCTTCATTATTTTTAAAAATATAATTTTTTTTGTTCTGAAGAAAAAGAGTTTTAAACCCGAAGGCAGTTCTATTTTAGTATTTTTTAATTTTCATGCAAAACAATCTCACCAAGCATTCAATTTTTTTGTTTGTTTTGGAAATAAAGGCAGATATATTTTGGGGAAGAAATAAAAAGGAAATTACTCGAAAAAATAACGCCAGAATTTTGTTTTGGAAGATCATAGCCCCCTCTTTTCAATTACAACAAAGTATTTAGATATTTGTATACCATGTTCACTGTTTTCTTTGCTGCATCCTAAAAGTATGCACGCAAAAGCAGTTTATCGTGTTTTCCACCACACATGCAAAATTTAATATAAGAATTGGAGCAAAGCTATTTCAAAAATATTTGAGTAAAATTGAAAGATATTAAAGAACCAAGGCAAAAACAATTTTTTTGAAATTATTTGCAAGTAAAACTGAAAATTTATTTTGTTGGAGTGATTCTGAAGGACGTTTTACAAATCTGTCTATAGCAAATTGGATCCAAAAGAAGGAAAGATTATTTTGATATTTTCTATGTTACATATAGAAGAGCATTTCATTTTTTAATATTGAAAATTCAATCAATTCACTAATATTTTTTAAATCCCAAATGGGATAAATGGAAACTTTTGTTGGATTGCTTCTGAAGGACATTTTTACAAGTCTGTCTAGTTATTATGAGCAAATTTAATCCAAAAACATTTGAAAGATTATTTAGTTCTTTTCTTAGTTAAATATAGAAGAGCATTTCATATTTTAATATCGAAAATTTAATTTAATGAATTCATTAATTTTTTTTTTAATCCAAAATGGTATTAATGGAAATTTTTGTTCGAGTGATTCTGGAAATTTTTACAAATCTGTCTAGTTATTATGAGCAAATTGGATCCAAAAATGGAACGATTATTTAGATCTTTTATAAGTTAAATATAGAAAAGCATTTCATATTTTAATATTGAATATTAAATTCAATCAATTCATTCATATTTTTTGAATCCAAAATGGAATTATTGGAAATTTTTGTTAGAGTGATTCTGAAGGACAAAAAAAAAAATTCGATTATACTCTCAGTTTGTTCGTTGGCCCCTTCCCAAGCATTTTGAATCACAAGAGTTATTGAAAGTGAGCATTCTTACATATGTTCGTCAACATTTAGAATTGGACTGTAGAACTTGGCCTGTGATCCCGCAACGTAAAGCCGAATATCTTGATGCTCTATACGCTTAGTACAAGACCATCTCACATATTTGGTATTCATAATTGAAATTAAGTCACAGATGAAATGTTTAAAATTCTTGTCGGGAGTACCCTCTTATTTAAATATGGATAAATGGAAATGCAATTAATTCAATAAAAATTTCTATTCAACACCTTATTAAAATCCCGTTCATTATGTTTTAGAACATATGCAACTCCTTTATATGAAAAGAATCATTAGGTCTCGTTGTTGATTATCGACAGATCTTCTTACAGAGAATTTTCTAAGCCTTTGGAATGCTCAAAATCATACTTTGACTAATGGGGAGCCGAAATCTGTGCAATATTTCCAAAAAATACATAGAACATTTTGAGGATGTAAAGACGAACAATATTACAGGGCCTCATAACAAGGGGAAAATAAATTAAAAAAACAAAACAAGGATACCTGAAATACTTTGGACTGGAAAAAATGAAAAGATATTGGGGTACATAATTGGACTACTTAAAAGATTAATCAAAACCTCAGGTTTGGTTCTTAAGCGGTTACAAATAATCTAATATATTTCTGACTTCGGTGCTGTCCTAAAACAACTTTTTATAGAGGAATTAAAAATCAGCAAGAAAATCAGATTTCAGATCCATTTCATTCCCTTAATATTTTTAAGATCACATCCCCCCAACTATAAGCCTCCGTTCTGACCCCCTAACCTAGACTCCATTTAACATTTCGAAAGGATCGGACCATTGCAACCTAATTTGAATAGACCATAACCTTCTTGGGAGAATCGATGTTTCCTACGTTTCTACAGATAGAAAACATCTATGGATCTCTCATGTAGATGTCCTTCAATAGTTTCTCAATGAATTAAACGGCATAATATTGGAGTAAAAAAAATTTTAATAGTTTTTCTACAGATAGGCAGTTTTTTATAGGTCTTCCATTAATAGACGCCTTTTTGGATAGACGCGACCTTCTGTGTGTGGCCTTCAAAAAACAAACTTCTTTCTATTGGAATCAAGAAATTAATAGATCATTAACATTCTTCCACGTTTTGGAGGCCCTCTTAAGGTTTTCCACAAATGAAAGACATTTTATGGATACGGAAAGAAAGATTTTTTTTATATTGCAGATCAACATAAATAGAGGACCTTCTACAGGTATTTTTACGGTCTTTGGTATTGAATGTACGATATTCTTTTTTTATTGTGCATTTTTACTCTAAATATAATTTAATCTTATTTTGGCAAATAACTGTTCTTCTAGGTTTAGAAGAGCTCCTATGGACACCGATAGCGACAAGAAGCCAGAATTTTTGCATTCGACATCGAAAAAAATCCAATTGTATCGAATTTAAATATGTTTTGATTGAATTTCAAATTTCTGCAGACACAACTAAATACGTAAATTCATTTTGGAGCGAAATTTGTTCGGTTTCGACTGCAAGCATTTGGTCCCAGGTCCAGATCACACTTTTGGTGGAGGGTATAACAGTTCCGAAGTGGATTTTTTTCATATTCTGAATTAGAAATTCTAAAAATGGACTTTTTCAAGAAAATTCTCAATAAAACAATTTTGTTTTCTTAACAAATTTTAAAATGGAATTTTACCAAATCCATAAATATTTTTGAGTTGTTTTCGAGAGTAATTTCTAGTTCCAAATACTTAAAGGAAAATTGATCAAGAAAACTCATTAGATGTTTTCAAGCAAGAGGGGGGCTCATGTGCAATTTTGCAAAAAAAAAAAAAAAAATCTAAAAATTCTTCCATATTTTGAGGTTAATTTCCTTTAAAACAAGCAAACATTGTGTTTGAAAAGCAAAACAATTTTAAGCTGAAAAGGGGGCTTGGATAAAAATTCAAATAAAAGGTGATTTGTAAAAAGCTTATAATTTCTATAAATGTTTGTTTTTTATTTGTTCCTGCTCATTATTTTCCAAGTAATCATTTAATTCTAAATAATATCACCAAAAAAGGTAGTTACTTTTACACATATCTCGTAAACATAATTAATATTATTAACTGTTTTTGTATACATACTATAACTTAATTGCTAAAATGAAAGGATTTAGGGGGGTGGCGGTAGAAAGGGTGAAACAAACAAGTTAAAAAAACGTTAAGGAAAACATTATGTTTTCCCCCATTTTATGTGTTATGTTGTTTCTGTTTAATTTCTTCATAATTAAACAAAACAAGATATAAACAATTCAAATTCAGCATTCGCGATATTAGCATGCAGTTTACATGCATGCAAGACTTTGATTAATTTCATTTTTATTTTCTTATTTCCATTGAACGGGGCGGGTTCGATTTTATTCAGTTTTGTGGTTAACTGAATTATGATTTTTTATTTTTATTTTTTTTTTTTATATAAATTTGTATTCTTTTGTTTATTGTTGTTGTTGTTTTTTTCTCTTTGTTTTGTAAGTATTGTGCTTTAGTTACTAGTTGTTGTATGTTTTTGTAATTCGTATGCTATTTTGAAATCTTTTGCAGTGATAGTTTTTGGGGAAGGGATAGGAAGGTTTAGGGATTCAAAAAGGTTTTTCCTCTACAAAAAGATCCTTTGATGCGCTGGGTTTTTTTGATTTTCTACAGTGTCGTCAACTAAAGCTTAGTGTAACGTTATACTTATTGTTGTTCTGTTTGTTCTTTTCGATAGTTTTTCGGTTTTTGTTTTTTTTTTATTTTCAACAAGCCTTTAAATTGTTTATGTTATTGACTAGAGTTGTTTTGTTGTTGTTGCTTTTGCCACTTGGTTGCGCGCCGCTGTAAAAATTAAGCCAATGCTTTTGTTGTTTGTATTTTTTTTTCTGTTTTGTGGTTATCAAAATACATAAATAGCCAAAAAGGAATAACGGTTGTAACGATCAGAAAACGGGGGATAATTTTTAATAATCTGCAAAGAGGAAGGAAGAGTATTTTGTAATTATTTGATATGCCGTAATTTAAAGGATCTTAATCTAACATTTACGAATAAAGAACTTATTCTAAAGAAAAAATCGTTAAAAAAATATGCCTGATGTACTTCAGGAATAAACAATTTGCTTTTGGTCCGATAAAAAAAAATATTTAAAAATATCTCTGTAACTCAGTCTTCCTCAGGAAATTTTCAAATACCCTTCTTCAGCATGAGGTAAGGAAAATCTTTAAAAATTAAAGGATTGGTATGGAAATCGGGTCCAATTCCATTTTTATCTGAATCACACTCTGGGTCGATTTATGCATGTCCGTCCATCTGTCCATGTGTTTTTATGAACAAAGTACAGGTCGCATTTATTGCTTGATCTAGATGAAATTTTGCACAAGTAATTTGTTTGACCCAAGGACGAACCCTATTGAAATTGGAGATAATCGGTCAAAATTTATATATAGCTCCAATATATATCTTCGTCCGATTTTCTTTCTATTGTGCACCAAACGTGTAATATCAGCCTAAATAGTATGGAATTTTGCACATAATGTATTAATAATTGTTATTTTTGTCCTCCGCAGCCTTAATACAACTCAGAAATACCTTTGCCAAATTTTATCGAGATCGTTTCATATTAGGATATAGCTCCCATAATTTCAAGTTAATTGTACACCAAATGGGTAATACAAGCCCGAATTAAAAACGCACAAATGCCTCGGAAATAGAAATAGATTAGGAGTAGAATATTCTTCTCATATATTAGTTTCTTTGGACTTTAAATTATAACTATAATCATAGTTGGTATGATTTAATTCTCACAAATTCCCTATAAAAACATTTATTTGTTATGTGAAGCTCTACTAAATATGTAAAGCGGTGTAGGGTAACATAACATCGGCCCCGCCCGACTTTAAGACTTTCTTTACTAGTTACCAATGAAATGGTTTGGTAAAAACCTTCAAATTACCGTAAATTCCTGCTAAAGCGGGTTTTAAATACCAAATTTGAAAATAAAATCTCCAAAATACCAAAAATTTGGAGGAGCCTCTTTATGAGTGATAAAAGAAATAATGTGCCTATTTGAGCAGTCTTCTGCTACAGAAGACATAACCCATTACAAACTATACATACTGAATTTTAAACGATTTTCCTGGAAAATTTTGCTAAAATCATCCGAATACCGGAAGGTAGCGAAATATGGGGGCTATAGGAAAACGTGATCTGCCACAAGAAATATAACCCATTACGAAGCCTATGTACCGAATTTTAAATCATTTCGTTGCAAAATGTTTTTAAATCATCCGAAACCCGAATATCAGGAGAATCCATTACGAATGTAAGTAGCGAATTTTAAATAATTCTTAAATTTCAAATCCACCGATGAGACAAAAACTTATCGAACTTTACAAAAACTTAGACTAAAAATTCACGTTAAGGACATCGATGCTTTCTCGGAAAATTTCTAAAAAATCCAAACATAAGACTCTGATGATTCCTTGAAAAAATTCCTAAGATATCCATATATAAGACCCTGATAGGCGCTTACAAAAATTCTTAAAAAATCCTCAAATGAGACTTTGCTCGCGAATTGGAAAGATTTTTGAAATAATATATGCATAGCACCCGATGATTCCTCAGAAAAATTAGTGAGAAATACATCTATAAAATACTAATGGAGTATTACAACAATTGGTAAAAAATAACATCAATAAGACTCCGATTGTCCCACAGAAAAATTCTTCAAAAATTCATGTACAGAGCACTGATGGTTTTGCGGGGAATTTCTTAAAAAATCTTGATGGTCTCCTAAAAAGTTCTTTCCACGGATAGTACTCTCGATGATTTCTGAGAAAACAAAAATCAACGTATTCGATTCTGATGGTCTTCCACAGAATTTCTTAAAAAAATCACCTAATCTGACTCTGATTATCTTTTAGAAAAATTGTTTGGAAAGCTACGTATAAGACTCTGATGGTTCCTTAAAAAATCTCAAAAACCCCTACAGAAAACTTTCTATTGATTTATCAGAGAAAATCGTATAGAACCCTAATCACTCAAAAAAAAAAAAAAAAAAAAAATAATAATAATAATAATAAAAAAGTTCTGGGTTCTGTTAGCCTCTCAGGCTCTCAGGAAAAAATATGCCGTTTATGCCTCCGATAGTTCCCGTGAAAACATCTTTAGAAATCCTAGTCTATGGAGCCATTACTGCCTCAAAACAGTTCTTTAAAAATCCACATTTATTTCTCTGTTAGTCTCTCAGAAAAAATCGTTGAAAATTAACTGTTGTATTTCGATTGTCCATCAGAAAATTTCTTAAACATCCGCGATTATGGCCCCTTTAGTCCCTCAGATTACATTATTAACACTCATCGTTTATGGCACCATTATTCCCCAAAAATCTACAAATATGAGTGTAGGGTTCGGCGAGTCTAATAAAAAATCTTAATCCTAATCTGTAAGTGCCTTAGGAAAAATCTTTAAAATTCAAATTTATGGCTCCGTTATTTCTGATGGTGAACATCTGGAGAAGTTCTAAAAAAATCACCTGCCATTGCACTATTGCCACATTCCATGGTTGAGATATTGTATTTTCAGACTTCCTACAACCATGATAACTCTGCACGCACATCGCTATCATCAATAATCTTAAAAACCACAATCTTGTATCGGAATACATACCTCAATTTATTTTAGAGTTCCAATCGACAGTTACGAAGAAAAAGAAAACCAACGTGATGCATGGATTTTCCCCTCGATTCAGAATCATCCATCCATTTTGATCACCAACAATTATATTTAGTTTTTGTTTTGTTTTTAAGTTCTCTCATCGCGCGTTCACTCTCGCTTAGCTTCCTTTTGTCTGCTGCGACACATGCACACACACAATCTATTCGATAATTTGTAATTCATTTATATCGGCCACATCAGCTGCATCTTTACAAAATGTACTCGAACGTTCCAATTTCGATTCAACCACAATTGAAGGATGGCCATCATCATCATTGTTGACCGCCTTCGCTGATGTCTTGATGAGCAATTCAATTTTTTGCTTTACCGCTTGAGCTGTATGATAGATTTCGCCACCGGATGAGGACTTGTGATTTCGGAAGTTGTTGCTATTGTTTTGATTGGTTTTTGCATTGTGGGATTTCTTTAGTTGCAATGAATTCGGTCTTCGTGTGGGTATATTCGATGGAGGGCCATTGTTGCGTAGGGTAGTCATCACGGAGGAGTGTGAGGCGGAACGCATTACTGGCGCCCCACCACCAACGTTGAGATTGTTTTTATTGTTCGCTGTCTTGGTTTCGTTCGGGTTGTGCAAACGATCCTTTTGCGTTTGTTTTAAGAGCTCCTCCTGCTGTTGTTTGTTCTTTTCTTTTTCGGCTCGCCTTGCCAGGATTTCTCGTGATTTGGCCGAGAGGAAACTGTGTTTGGTTTGAGGTTGATTTTGACTGCCATCGCCGCCGGCGCTCTGACCTGGCACCGATATTGAACGTTTATAGAAATCACGCGATGACTGAGTTGATGATACCGAGGAGAGACGACTTGTAGCCGATTTGGTGGTGGTAACTGATGAGGGACTGGAACCGGTGGAGGTTATTTTCTGTTGCAAATATTTGGGTGCCCGTGGCCCCAGACTTGTGGGTCTGGCCGGTTTTACACTGCCATTTGCCCGGGTTTTTTGGCTATTACAAGAATCACTTTTCAATTTAGTAGGCCTGCCTAGTCTATTCGAAAGCAGCGACTCTCTTGAGGCTGATTTATTGGTGATCACAGAACTTTTCATACTCTCGTTCATGGAGTCGTCAACACACAGATCGGATAGACGTTCATTATCGGAAGACTTGTTGGTTTTGGATCTGTTGCCGGTGCGTGCATTGGCAGATGTTAGACTATCCAAAGACATGTTGTTGGTGGACTTAATGTTGGCCGTCACCTTGCCGTTGAGATGTTTTCTCGCCGCTGGACTGGAATGACGTGAGCTTTCGCTGGAAGAATGCTGGTAGTTTTGCTTCTTGGCCAGATTGCCGGGTATGCTAGAGCTGGTGGAACTGCGTACAGGACCATTGCCGAGGGCTTGAGTGGTGTGCACCTTTTTCGGTTCCAAGTAACGTGGCCTAACATCAGACAATTTTAGTGATTGACTGCGAGTTTTTGTGGTATGGCTTTCATTTGCTTTGGATTCCATGGAGGGTTTCTTTGGTTCATTGGATTTGTTGGCTGGTGCTGCGGCCGCTGTTGTTGCAGTTGAAGTTGGCGCCTCAGATTTGGTGCGACGATGATGTACCGCAGTGCTGACACTTGTGCGTTCGGAGGTCATACTACTTTGAGAGATGCCCTTTAATGCTTGAGGAACATGAGCACGTGAATTGGATTTTAAAACCCGGCCTGCAAAGAAACAAAGGTTCATTGTATTGAATTTTCCGAAATGGTGGCTTATAAAGGCACTACTTACTTGTTCCCTCTCTCAAATCATGATTGGCTTGAACTCCCCGTTCCGCAGTTTGCACAGCATCGTGGGTGGTTTGGGTGGCCTTGTACAGCTGGGTATCCTGGGCCAGGGCCCTTTTGGAGTGCGCCTGTATGGCTGCCTTAACCTGCTGCAGATCTTGGCTCCGTGTACTGCCGCCAAAGGAGAAGGCCTTTGAAACCGGTTTACCACGTTTGAGATCTAGCGGCTCAGTTAGACGTGCCAGTGTTTGGATTTTCTTGCGCAAATCCAGGTCCATACGTTGCCAAGCGGTAACCCGCATGGCCCGCGAGCACTGCCTTATCAGACACTGTTCCACGGCCGATAGTATGGAGCTAACCAAACGTATGTATTCCGTATCCCAGTCGAGATCTTCTTCCTGAAGACCCTGTAGTTCTTTGGCCAATTCTCCCAGCCCAGGAGGCATTTGTATAACTTTGGCTTGTAGCACAGTATTGAGACGTGTTATCCGTTGATAACTACGACAAGCTTGATCGGGTGTTAAATTCGAGGCCGTACGCAGCAGTACACCTTCGAGTCGGGGTATATGGCAACTGCGATCGTGTCCCAGTGAAAGGAATGAATCGCTGGCTATTAAACTAGCGAAATGATCGGCTATATAACCATAGGCGGCATCCAAAATGTTGCGAACCAAATTCTCACAGACGCCACCCCAACGATATGTGGCCAGCTGGGCGAGCAGATTGTCACAATCCAAAACGGTGTCCAAAACAGACTCGGAGGTCTAGAGGGATGATTTGGAATTGGGAAAAATAGGTTAATAAATTTGATGAAATCAAGAAAAGCAATTCTTTCGCAAGTCATCTAAGGATAGATCTTTAGCAGGTCTTCAAAGGATATAAGATCTTTAACTGGTCTTCTACATATAGAAGAGCTACAATAGGGTTTCTGTAGAGAAAAAGATCTCTTATCTATTGATGTCCTGAAAAATGCTTTCTTTATAATTTTAACAGGTCTTCAAAGGATAGAATATTTCAACTGGTCTTCTAAATTCAGAAGGTCTTCGGTGGATAGAAAGATATTCTATCTATGGAAGTTCTGAAGAAATCAGGTAATCTACAGAAAGAAGGATTTTAACGGATGATTTCTTTCATAGATTGGGATCTTCTTTAGGTCTTAAATAAGTAGCAGATCTTTCAAGGGCCTTTTATCTTTAGAAAGTCTTCTAAGGCCATTTGACCTCCTAAAATCCTTCTCCATGAAAGTCCGTCCAACAAAACCTGTCTTTTTCAACTTACCAAATATGCCACAATCTGCTGACGACACCTGGCCAAAATGTCCGATGGCAATTGGGCAAATTGCCGGGTGGGCCACACCTTCAGATAATGGCGACAAGTCCACCTCAAACATTTCCGATAGAGATCATCCAGAGCATGATTTAATGCAACGGGCAGGACCTGTAGTATACCATCAATGCAACCGGAACAGGGTTTATGGAAATTATGACAATAATTCGTTTTCAAAGCATGAGCCGTTACTTCCTTCAGACCCTCCAGTCCCAGTAGATCTGCCAATGCCGCCAATTCCATAAGACTTATGCCATCCGGTGGATGTGAGGCCCCCGAATAAATGTGACACAGAGCAAAATGTACTGCCGAATAGGAATAGCCCTGCAACGAGACCACACTAGTCGCCTGGTTACCAGCCAACATGGCAGCAAAGTATTGACAACGGGAACGCAAAATACATTTATGGGCTTTTATTCGCCTTCCATGCACCTCCACAACCATATCGGTGGCGATTTCCTGTAAGAACATTTTGAGCAAATCTTCGCCCAGTCGTCTGGGCTGGCGACATGACATCGAGGATTCATCCATGCCCGAACGACTTATGCTCGATGCCAAACTTGAATCATTGCTGAGATCGGTTTGTATATAATCCATATTATCCAGGCTCATATCATTGGGCAGGGAATTGGATATTTCCTTGGAGAAGTTGGGGAAGAGACGAGAAAGACTGCGTAGATTCTCCACCGAGCTGGTGAAATTTTGAAAACTATTGCCCGTGGAGCGAGACATGGTCCAGGAGTGCGGTCTACCCGAACGATGGTTATCATCACGATAGAGCCTACTTATTTGCCGGTGATTACTGCCACCACCAACACTGGATGTCATGCGTTCGGGGGATTTTAAATTCAAATTCAACGGCTTATCCATGTCGGATAGCTTGACAAAGGTATTACCACCACCTCCAGCCGTGGAGCTTTCTCCATGTTCATTTACCGTTTCCAGTAGCATTTTTTGCTTCTCAATTGTGGCCTGCAGCGAGTCCATACCAATATTCTGTGCCACTTTTTTGGGTGACGATGTCTCCTTGGCCTCCACAATGGTTTCCATAATAATGTTGGAAATACGATTTGACGATAACGACGATGTGGAAGCAATTGACAATGCCGAGGTATTGCTTTGCTGCAAATGAGCCAATGCCTCTTCAGTTTCTCGGGCGGCCTGTTCTTCATCCTGCTGGAAGGTCAAATCATCTGTATCTGTGGTGGAGAGCGGTGAAAGATCTTTGGAGAGAATGCCATCGGTAATGGAGGCTAAACTTGACTTATCAAAGGTCTCATTGATTTGGACATCACGCCGTCGCTTTTTAATACGATTCTGTTGCGGATTTTGTCCACCAGCCTCCTCTTCACGTTCTCCCCCTGAACTGGTACTCAACTCGGATTTAGATCCCGTGTAATCATCGAAGGGTGATATGGAACTATCCACCGATAATGAAGAGGTTTTCGATATGATGGGTATTTTATCGATAATGCTCATGAGACCACCACCGCCACCACCCCTTCCACTCGAACCATCTTTACCATCTCCATTATTGGTAAGACTAATCGATCGCTTATAGTCTGTGGGAGGACCAGCAATGCCATTAGTGCCACTGCCGCTATTACCCCACGAATGACGTTTATTGGCCTCATGTTGGGCCTTCTGTTGCATGGAGAGCCTGCGTATAGCCGCCACGGTTATGGGTGGCTCAAAGTTACATTTGTAATCCAGGGACTTTGTTTCTCCAGCTCCCGCCTCGGGGTTGCATTCGCTGTTGGGAATTTTATTTTGATTCGATTTCGACATTAATGTCTCTGTAGAACTGGCTGCAGATTTCAGCGTTGCCGTCGCCGCCATGGCCTGTTCATCCGTTTTCTTTTGTTGCGTCGTAGTTAGCGAAGTACTGAGGCGTTGTGCCAGACTGAATGGCTCTTTGCGCAAGGGTTTCAGCGGTTTCTTATCACCATTACTAATGTCTATAAACATACTGAAGAGATTTTTCTGTGAGCTGCTATTAGAATTGTCAGCTTGTTGGAGATTGTTTTGCGGTTTGGCTGCTGCTGCTGCTGCCTCTACCTCCTCTCGTGAGGGGTCGCGGGGCCTATATTCACTCGAGGAAAGATTTACAAAGAATCGCGTTGAGGAAAGCGTTGGGGCTGCATTGAATGACTTGCTCATGGGTGAATCAATTGCGGTTGATCTTTTCTCCTTCGGTTTCTTTTCCATGTCGTCGAGCGACACATAGAAACCACAACCACTTTTGTGAGAGCTGGTGGAATCGGAACGTTCTCTGAATTTTGAATTTGAGGTTTCCAAACTTGAGGAAGAGCTGGTGCTTTTACGTCTTTCTCCGCCCGACTGGCAATCGCTCATGTCGACCACCCAAGAAGCAATGCCGGCAATGGGTTTACGTGGTTTTGTTTTGTTTCGCAATTCCACTTCCATTTCTTCATCCTCATCGGCCAGGGGTTGGGTGGGCTCAAAATCCAGCGATGTAAAGCCACCCGAAACAATGGGACAATTTTCCGTTTTCCTTTTCAGCGAAGGACTTTCACATAGCTTTTCCGGATAATCTGTAATCAAAGAACCCCCCGAAATGATGGGATTGGCCTCATCAAATTTTGAGCGTTTTGGAGTACGTGGCATGGGTATGGGTGAATCGGTGGCATCCGAACAGTATGCTCCCGAGTCACGATGATGTGAAAACGATGAAGAGGATAGCGTATAGTCCCGATGTATCGAAGAGGTATTGGATGAACAATTCGGTTCTATGTGGACAATGGAGTTGTGTGGCGTGTCGGGTAGCAGACATTTGTTTTTAATGGCAGCCATGTGATCATAGTCCTCTATGCTCATCTTTTGATTGTGCCCCGCCGTTGAGGAGGAGGAGCGGTGTTCATGTTCAGACCATTGCAGGCTGGGAGCCGGACTAGATGAGGAATAATCTGTGGTATAGCTAACATCACTGTGATTGTTGGTGGATTGCGGGTGATGATGGTGGGCATGGACATGATGGCCACCACCATGTGGATGATGTTGATGATGGTGGGGATGTGTGTTGAGTAACTTATTGGCCAAGGGAGGAAGGCCTGGGCCAGAATATTGATTGTATTTCCTTTCCGTTTCCCGTTTGATGCGAAACATATCCGATGAGTCGGAGGAATCGGCATCTTGTGGCATGTTCGAGGAGCAGTTGACATTTGTATCGGAAATTTTTAATTCCTCCTCCTCCTCCTCCTCGTCCCCCTCTCCATTTACCTCCTCCTGGGCCGGTGGTGAGGGTTTGTGATCCCTTTTCCATAGTTTCTCCTCATCGGAGAGATTACTAATGGTTGTCTCATTTTGTTTGTCATTGTTTTCTTCGGAACTGCAGGAGGAGTTAGAGGATCTGGGTCGACTATGCTGCTGCTGCTGCTGTGTCGTGCTGTTGATGGTGGTGTTTGGATTCGCTGCAGTTGGACTTTGGCTGGCATCATCTTTGGATTTTACTTTGCACCGGGCAAATGATTTATGGAATGTTTCTAGTTTTTTCGTGGGAGATTCATCCTCTTCCTGTGGTACTTCGTCTGCATTGCCATCCTTTGGATGGTGGCCAGGGGCGTTGGCCTGTTTGTTTTTGGGATATGGTGGCACTTCATCCTCATCGCACAGCGATGAAGCATCTATAAAACAGGCGCTGGTCTGTGATGAACTCATGGGATTGTCCGCCTTGCTTAGCAAATCTCTTTGCAGAGATGAGGAGCTTATGCCCTTGAAAAGTGAGGAGGTGTCCGCCGTCAGAGGATTATGTCCAGCTGAGTAGGTCCTTTCCCTTACCATGGGTTCTAAATCTAAATCCTTGTTTCTTAGGGTGCTGGAGGAACAGGATGAAGGGGCATCTTCTTTTTCTTTGGCTAGCAGTTTTGATTTGCTGGCACTGGCCACCAAACCCAAGTTCTTTTCCAAAAATCCCACACAATAGTTTGTTAGATCTACATCGACCTGAGGCACAGCCGATGAGGCAATGGTAACGGAGGAGGCCGGCCCCATGTTGGGGGGATTTGTGGCTGGAAACACTGATTCCCAGGAGCCAGTCTCTGAGGATATCGATGATGTTTCGAGAATTACAATTTCCTCATTTTGCCTTTGTTTTTCCTCCTTGGAGGCGGGTGGTGGCAGTAGAGGTGGCGGCGTGGACACCACCGTCTGCAGGGTATTGTTGATTTTCAGCTTCAGAGGTGTCACCACCAAATCGCCAAATGACTGTTTATAATCTTTGGCTGTTGAAGAATTCGAGGTGGTGGAACAACTGGCCTCCTCCATGCCATTTAACATTTGCGATGTACTGGAGCCGGCCATTTGATTTAGGTGCTCCATTTCCGGACTGTGATTGTTGCTGCTCACTGGGGAAAATGTGTCCCTTTCCTCATCGCCCAAATCCACCTCACAGGTTTTGGTGGAAGAGCCACTGCCTTGGCGTGGCAAGAGATCTAGGTTTTGTAAAGGTCGTCGCACTTCGTCGCTGTACTGGGGCGCCGATGAGGTGCTGGAGGAGCTGGTGCTGGCCGTACATGTGTCCGGCGTTACAGGTGTTGTTGTTCTGCTGGTGGAACTATCCATTGTTGGTGTTGCTGTTGTTGTAAATAACTACAATAAGAAAATCTAGGCTTATGAATGCATTTAGTAGTTGGGTTCGTTTTTGGTTGGTAAATATTGTTGGTTGGTATTGTCACCGGACGGACAAAGTGTGGTCACGTTTAGACGTTGTTCCTTTTGCTTTGTTGTTGTTTTTGGCTTTTAGGATAGGTTGTCTTTTAGTTACTGCTTAGAATAATTAATGAGTAAATAACTCTAATGATGATGATGTTGGTGGTGATGATAATGATGAAGGTTCTGTTTGGCGCTATGCTATGCTAGTAGAGATCGCTTGTTTCGTATTTTCGTCGTTCGTTCGTGAAGGGCAGGCCGATGAATGAATGAAGGGAAGAGAGTTGTTGCCTACTATTGTTGCCTTTTCTATTTTTGCAAATATAGAAGTTTCCAACAATAATGTGGTGGTGTTTTATTTTTCCTCTTCCTTTAAATGGCAGACAAAAGTTTTGCCCAAAAAAAATCCCGGTCTATTGTTCGAGGCCGACTTGCCTTGGCGGCTGGCTGGTTGGTTGATTACACAATGGCAACTCCTCAGGCAAGCAAATTCAATGGCTGGTTGCAATCCTTTTTTTGTTTTTGGGAATTTTAAAAATAAAATGGGCTGTGAAATCAATATCCCCACAAACACATAGACACTGAAAAAGTTTACAACTTCAAAGGTTTTTCATCTCTCTCCGTTAATGTGTCTATTCAGCCCAAGCGAAATGTAAAAAATGAAAATCGACTTGCTCTTCTTGCTCACTCTATGCTCTGGGGATGTGGTCGATGATAATGTTTGCTGTTGCTGCTGCTACTGCTGCTGAGAGAGACGAAAAGGCCATACCAAAGTAGGAATCTTTGGCACCCAATTTGTAAATATAATGGCTGGTGGCTGGGCTGTGGCTTCAAAGAGTATTTGTCTTCTTCGTCTTCTTCTGCTGGCTTTTACAAATGAGTGTAAATGTGTTTATTGTTGTTATTTTTGGTACCCAAAAATGTACATGTTGCCATTTAATCTCTCAAATGGTTCTTATTTTTTTTCTGATGATCCCGGCCGTGCAACCAACAACACAGAGTAATGAGAGGAGTTCTTCCTTTGTAATATGCCTTACAGAAAACACAGACAAAGACTGAGTGTGTGGTTGTTGCTGTATTGTGTAAGAATGTTGTTGTTGTTTGTTGTTGCATCTATCTTCCCTTGGTATCTTCCACTTCTCTTTAAATATTGAAGTTAATCTTGTTTGGTGTTGATGTTTTCCGATTGTTGTGCTGGTGAGAACTGTTTATTCGTTGTATTTACAATTCATATCTGTCGAAAGAGAAAAAGAGCGGGGGGAGAGAAGAAAAAAAACCCATAATTAGTGAAGTTGTTAACAAAAGAAATGGGATTTTCTTAAAATGTAAAATATTGTAATGAGGGACAATACTAGGCAAATAGGTATGTCTTGTAAAATTCAAATAAGAAATTGGAGGGGGAAAAGAAACAACGTTAAGAGAACAAGGAAAAATAAACTAAGAGCATGTATAGGTTTGCTCGTGAAGGCGGATAATTCAAGACGGATATCCAGCAAGATTAGAAAGTCTTAAATTCCTAATAGGAGTCGGATCAGTTCACCTAAGATCGGCATGTTCCAGTAGTTAGCATTTTTTTTTTTTTTTGGATTTAAACTAAACATCGGTACTATTTAAAAACTGAAATCTCACCAACCATAAGTATGAATGAACTGCCGACAGCTTTTCATTTTTTTTTATTTCTTTTTCCAGTGGTAGGTATTTTTACCCCGATTCCGGGAAGCTATTTTTTTTCTTGGGGACGGCCCGGGGCCCCAGATTTTTTTTACCCGGAAGACCGGGTTCAGGACCCGGGCTAGAGCCGGATCCCGTTCCCATTTGTAGGGAAGGTACCAGAAGGAGTGAGCCTATATATTCTATCTTCCCACCATATCTTGGAATTCTTATTTCGCATTTTATGTTATTTTGAGTTATTCCAAATTTTGAACCTTACGGGGGGTTGTACCAGAAGGGGTGATTCTATGTATTCCATTTTCACACCAGATATTGTTTTAGTAGAAATATTGGGATATGAGAAATTTAAGGAGAATTGGGTGATCAATTCGCATTTTAAGTAGTTTTGGATATTCAAAATGTTGACCCTTTGTTGGGGAGGTACCAGAAGGCGTGTGCCGATATCACACCTTATGTTGATAGAAACATTGAAATGTGCCGAGTTTAAAAGGAATCGGATTCTAGTTTTATGAGGCTCATATCTATTCAAATTTTTGACCCGTTGTAGGAGATGTAATAAAAGGAGTGGATCGATATCTACCATCTTCACACCATGAATTTTATGTTTATTTTGCATGTTAATAGAGTTATAATTATTAAAAAATTTGACCCTTTGTGGGGAGTTACACGATGGAGTAGGCGATATTGTCCATTTTCGGACCTGTGATTTATTTGCAAAGTTTGCACAAAATTCTTGTTCTATACGATAAATAATTTTCGTTGACCAATTCACCTTTTGTGGGAGAGGTACCAGCAGGGGTGAACCGATTTTGCCCATCTCCGAACTCGATCTAAGTTTGACAATAATATTATGATGTACCATGTTCTTTCTTCCAAATCGGATACTACCCTCTATAAATTCCTTTGAGGGTAAAGGAATGCATATCTCGAAAGGTTTAGACTAAGGTCCGGTGTCCTGATTGACAATATTGAATTGATCCTTCATTTCACATTTTAAACGATCATATTTTTACAACATTCACTGATTTGTATACCCTCCACCACACAATAAAGGATATATTAAATTTGTCATTCCGTTTGCAACACCTCGAAATATTCGTCGAAAACCCCAAAAAGTATATACATTCCTGATCAGAAAAAATTTAAAGGCGATTTAGCGATGTCCGTCAATCTTTACCTTTGTCTGTCAGTCGGTCTGTAAAATTGACGAAAGAGTCCAGATTATGTAATCTAGAGCTTTAAAATTAGGTTTATATATTGGTCCGCGTATATGTATAGCCCCCATATAACCGTACCTCCCGATTTTCGAAACTTTAAAGATTTCTTCCACAATTTTCAACCTAATCCGCTAAAACTTGACATTTGTGGTTCTTGGTAGACCTGTTGTTCTCTTCTTGCAATAAATGTTGCATTCAGGTTCTCTAATTGGCATAGCACCCGTATAAATGTATTTTCGATTTTCGGCATTTTGAAAGTTTCTGCCACAATTTTGAAATCAAATTAAATGGAGCTTAAAATTTAGGGCCCTCGGTAGGTCTGTTCTCTCCTTGCAAAAAAAATTCCGATTTAGGTTCTCTAATTTTTGTAGCCCTCATATAACGGTACCTCCCGACTTTTTGGTATTTTGAAGGTTCCCGCTACAATTTCCAATCAAATCAGCTGAGACTTGACATTTGGGTTTCTTGAAAGGTCTGATCACTCCTTGCAAAAATATTTGAATAAGGTCATTAATTGGTATTATTCCTCCCGATTTTAGGAATTATGAAGGTTATGTATAGCCCCCCGTACCTCCCGATTTTTAGAACTTTTGAAGGTTTCTGCCACAATATCCAGGTCTGTAGGTCTGTTCTCTCCTTGCAAAAAATGTTGGATTCAGGTCCACTAATTGGTGTAGCTCCCATAGAACGGTACATCCCAATTTTCGGTATGTTTGAGGTTTCTGCAACAATTACCAACCAAATTAGATGAAACTTAACATTTGGGATTCTTGTTCAGGTCTGTTCACGCCTTGCAAAAAAATGTTCGATTCAGGTCAAATAATTGGTATAGCCCCCGTATAATGGTACCTCCCGATTTTTGGTTCTCGGTGAGTCCACTAATTGGTAAAGCCCTCATATAACGGTACCTCGCGATGTTCGTTATTTTGAAGATTTCTGCCACAATTTCCAATCAAATTAGATCATAATATGGGTTTCGCTATTTGGGTTATTTTTTTTAACGGATTGATATTCCACCTTAACCTATCCTACCCTTTTCATTATTTCATTTTACTTTAATAAATATAGGACAAATATATGTATGGAAGCTATACCTACATCTGAACCAAATTTGACAGACTTTTTTTTTTAATTTGGTTGGATATGCCAAATTCCATACGATTTGGACCAATAATACACATTTGGTACACAATAAAAGGCAAATCGGACGAAAATATATATGGAAGCCGTATCTCTAAATTTATACGGCTGATGATGATGATGTGAGGTAAAAAAAATTAAAAAGCTGTAAGTTCGGCCGGGCCGGGCTTTGAATACCCTCCACCATTTGGATATCTCAAAAACAAAAAATTCTGTTAAATCTTAAAAATACCGAATGTAGCTATTATATTAGGGTCTATACGACGACATGAACCTGCGTAGGTAACATTTGTCATAAGCCATTACAATACAAATGCGAAACTTAAAAAAATCGGTTATAATGTCGATAAAAATAAAAATACCGAATATCGGGGACCTGCACATTCAATCTGTCATAGGCTGTAGTATCCATTACGAACTTCAAATACCAAATTTGAAACAATTCTGGTGGAAAATGTCCATAAAATCATAAAAATACCGAATATCGAGAGGTACCGTTATATGGGGCTCTACGAAGAGGTGGACCTGCAAAGACAATTTTATGTCTTCGGCTGTAGTATCCATTTCGAACTTCAAATACCATATTTGAAACAATTCCGGTGAATAAATTCCCTAAAATCATCAACATACCGAATATCGGGAGGTACCGTTATATGGGGGCTATACGAAGACGTGGACCTGCACAGACAATTTTCTGTCTTAGGCTGTAGTATCCATTTCGAACTTCAAATACCAAATTTGAAACAATTCCGGTGAATAATGTCGCTAAAGTCATCAAAATATCGAATATCGGGAGGTACCATTATATGGGGCATATACCAAAACGTGGACCTACATGGCCCATTTTCAATACCAAAAGTCCTGCAGACATAACATACATTAGAGCAAATTTTTATCAACCTACTTCAATTCGTTCGGAAGCTAGAGTGATTTCCACAGACAGACGGACATCGCTTAATCGAAATAGAATTTTATGCTGATCAAGAATATATATACTTTGTGGGGTCTAAAATGTGTATTTCGAGGTGTTACAAACGGAATGACAAACATAATATACCCTCCATACTATGGTGGAGGGTATAAAAAAGAAATCAGACAGATTTCCCACATTAAGACAGATTTCCCATTTTTAATTTGATGTATCAATATTGTCCCTTTTGTATCCATAACCTAATATTACGATGTGTAATGTTATTTTTTATTAAGTTATATATATTTGGAAACCTACCAAAAATGTTCCATTTTCACAATTGTTCCAATATTGAGAAAATTATTGGGATGTGAAGAAATTCTGACATTGGTTTACACCATTATTGAAGTTATTATAACTCATTTTTTTTTTTTACTTTGTGGGCGGTTTTTATAAGTTTGGTCCAAATTGAAAGAAATTTTGCTCACAAAAATTGAAGAGGAGAATATTTGCAACAGGACTGCGCCAGGTGCCACACAGCCGAAGCTATACTTTATTTCCAAAAAAAAATAAGTTGGCGAACTCTTTTCTTAACTATCTAGTTTGGCATAGATATTGTGGGGTAACTCAAATTTGATGATGATGATACACAATTTTCTATGGAAATTATAACCATTTTTTGGTCAAGGGAACCTCTTAAAAATGTCTATAACCTACGTTCAAGGATTTGACCTGAAACCTAAAACCAAACAACAGATGTTTTTGTGTGATAAAAAAACGACCTTAATTTTTCATGTGATTTTAATTTATCATTTAATTAAAGTTGTTGTTGCTGGTGGTGGTGGTGGCGTTGGTGCTGTTGGTGATTTTATTATATTCCCACACGTTAGCAGTCATTATTCGATTAATTTCATCTTCCAGCACCACCAGCAGTCAATCGATTTTATACGGAAGTCATAAAGACGCGATTGACGAACGAAACATGTCAGTCGAATGGTGTGTCAGTCAGTCCCGGTGCTTCAGTCACTTCGATGATTTGCATGTGGTTGTATGTAAAGTTTTTCTACTAGGGGTCTATGTAAATATGTCTGTCGGTATGTCCGTCTGTCAGTCTGTCTGTCTTTCCGTCATACCATCCATGTAAGTTTGATTACTCTTCTTTAGCTTCGTTTGATTTTTTTTTCTTTCTATTGTTTACGACGGCATGGTGATGAAAAGGCGGCGTCGGTGGTGGAGGTGGAATTCTTACATCCATACATGTTTTACAACAACAATGACAACAACACAAATTTACAA